GCCTGCCTCTTCCCTTTAGTGGAAATGTTTGGTTATTTCTCTCAAGCAGGTGTCATTGTTGTGACTGTCTATTCTCCCTTTCCCTCCCTCTCTCCTCTGTCCTCTCTATTCCTTCCTCTCTTCAGAACATAGCCTAAATTACAGCATCCAGGCTACCCTAGAACCCAGTCTTCCTGCTTCTCATTCCTGACTAAGGGAACCAAGTGTGTGCCACCATGCCCAGTGTTTAGTCATAACTTCTTCTCTTTTTGGCTTCTTTTGAATTGGCTAACTATGAGTACAGTTGTATGTCCCACATGGTCCTTCCAGCTGGTTTGTGGTTTATGGCGCTCGATTCCTGACTGCTGTAGTCTACCTGGAAGCAAGTTAGACCTATTTGCATGTGCTCTTGAACCTCAGAATGAACACTTCCTTTTTCTGTCTTACCCTTTGTCTTCTCTACCCGTCCTGACCTTTAAAGTTGATTAGACACAGCAAAAATTACCATCAGCCAAATAGCTGCACACACCTGTAATTCCAACACTTGGGAGGTAGAAGCAAGATTAGGAATTCAAGGTCACCCCCAGCTCTGTCGCAGGTTGGAGGTTAGCCTGAGCTGTGAGATACCCTGTCTCAGTGACAACAAGCCTTATAACCAATTCTAAGTGTACATTTCAGGGGTATTAAACATTCACAATGTTTCCATTCATTTCCATAACTTTATTCATCATACAAAACTGAGCCGACGAAGTAGGTTTACCTCTAAGGCCAGTCCTCAGGAGTATGAGACAGAATCAAGGCATGGCGAGTTCAAGATCAACCTGGACTGTAGTGAGAGACCCTGACACCAAATAAACAAAAACAAATGACAAAGAAAAATGGCTATGACAATACAAATAATAATAAAAATAACCTGCTCATCAAAATACCCCCCCCTACCTTCTTCCTGCCATGCCTGGATGCCTCCATTCAACTTCCGTATGTGATAGGATCTACTTTAAGTAGTCCTTCAAGTGAACGATGGGATAGTTGCCTCATTGCCACTCACCCATGTCACTTGGTGTTGTGGTGTAGGGTGTTAGAATTTTCTTCCTTTTTAAAGGCCAAATAATATTTTTAATGTACCAAACTTTTTTGTTTATCCAGCCATTTCTTGGAGGGCAATTGGATTGTTTGAGCTTTTTAGCTGTTGTGGAATAACGCTGCTGTGAACCTTAGGTTTAAAATATCAGTTCAAGGACTGGAGAGACGATTCAGTGGCAAAGCCCTTGGCTGTTGAGAGTGGATGTCTTGAGTGATTGTGTTGTTGACACGAGCACAGCCATGTCAAGGACTCCGATGCCTCAGACCCTGTGGGTGACAAAGCCTTCCAAGGTGAGACTCAAAGGGATGGCAAAGCCATCCTCTGGTCTCACTGCGAATACTGACAGTGTATGTAAAAACTATCAACCACATCTTTCTCCTCCAGGATGACTCCAGCCTGGGACTGTTGCCCTATAGAGAACTCTTACCGAGATTAACTAATCCTGCCTTCTTGTTCAGCTGTAAGCCACAAACCCACCTCCTTGGTTTGTGTGTATAAGATAAACATGCTGCAGTTCTGGGCTGCATTAGGTGGCCTCCATTATAATGATCCAAGCACACCCAATCTCAGCTTTTCTGTACGAGTGTCTGTGTGTGTGTCCTTTCTTCATTCCCTCATTGCCCTGGTTAGGTCAATCCCCGAAGCCATGCAGAGTTCAGCACCATTCAAGCCTGAGGACCAGAGTTTGGATCCTCAGAACTCACATAAATGCTGGATGGGTCTGGTGACTCACTTAGAATTCCAGTGCTCAGAAGGCAGATGGGGGAATTCTCACACCAGGTTTCTAGTCAGACAAACTGTATTGATGAGCTATGGGTTTAACTGTTAAGACCCTGTCTCAGGGTAAAGAGAGAAGACACATAAGCATGCACTTTTGTGTGCATCCATGCATGTGCGCCCCCCTACCCACATCACACCACACATATACTTGCAAATATAAAGTCTCTGGAGCTTGCTATGGTTGAACAAGATGGTTGAGCGAGTAAAAGTGCCTGCTGCCCCAGCCTGACCACCTGGCTTCAATCCCTGGATCCTTTGTAGAGCGAAGAACTGACTCCTGGAAGACGGTCTCTGACCTCCACATATGTGCTGGGGCGCTCCCCTGCACTCACACGCCACGCCCAATAAAATGAAAAATTCAAGTTAGCTGTTCAAGTCTTTGCTTTCAATTCTGCTTGCTGGCCTGAAGGGGTCTGGAGATTGTCTTGACTCTGTCTTTTATCTTCCCATTGGAGTACTGGGATTACAGATGCTCGTGCTACGTGTCAGAATTTTTATGTGGGTTCTAGAGATTTTAACCACGGTCCTTGTGCTTGTATGCCAGGCACTTTGACTTAGTAAGTCATCTTCCCAGCCCAAACACTCAAAATTTATTAACATATAAATAAATGTCCTCTTTTGCCTTTGAAACCTGTGTGTGTATACATTTGTGCGGTATATGTAGATGTATGTGTGAACCATATTTTGCAAGATAGGGTCTTTCCCTGCCCTCAGACTTTACTAACTCAGTTAGACTGGTTAGTCTTGCAAACCCTGCCTTCATGTCTCTACTTCTCCATCTCTGAGGTTACCAGTGTGTGCTCCCACATCTGTCTACTACGTGGGCAATGGGGCATGGTACAGCAAGCATTTCCCTGAGGAGAAAGTTTGAATGTTCCATCTATTCTTCAAACTGGCATTCCTCCTGACCCTGTGAGCTCTGGAGAGTGCTCTTTTCAGTAGCTCTGGGTGCGAGTCTAAAGCCTTGAGTGATCTTTCCGTGTGTACATGTTGATCTGTGCTCATCTGAAGGCTTGGGGCTGTCTGCAGCTTGGGATGCTATTCTCCTCTCTACGTTCCCTGTACACCGAAGCTCCCTCAACCATCCTGGACTCCTGCTCAGAGATTCTGGGTGGTTCCCCTGTTGGAGTAAAGCCAGAGGATGCTTTCCATGCCACATTCTAAAGCAATCATGGACTCATGTATCTTCTCATCTGTCAGCATCCAGGTCTCACTACCATCCCTGTTGCGTTTATTTTGTCTGCAATTAAACTGAAGCCTCAAGCAGGAGATGAGATCTGGTTACTGTCTCACCATCCTGACTAGAAGCTGCGTATGATTCTGGAATCACTTGCAGAGTTTGTTATGACTCTGTGTATCTTGGGCCACACTCCAGTCGTATTGATTTACAAGCTGTGGCAGAGAGGCTGGGGTCTGGCTTGCAACCATGTGCCAAGGAGATGCCTGGTGTCAGATGTGTAAAGTCAAACTGCATCTGTACAAAAGAGCTCCCGAGCCACCGAGAAAGGCTGCCTGTGCCAGTTCACGGGGCGCAGCACACTAAATCCGATGTCTGCAGAGGGAATGCTTTGGATCACCCTTGAGAAAAGACATCCAAATACAGCCCCGTGACAGCCAACGGAGTCAGTAAATGACGCATGGTGGGGGTGGGTGGGTGGGTGGAAAAATGAAGGAGTAAATTTGGATTAGGAGAACTGGGGGAAGGAGGCTGGCAGGCAAGCACATTCCAAGCGCAGAGGATGTTGTTCAGGACCCAAGGTGAAGAGACGCATGACACATTTGGGAAACGGGATCACTTGGAATGGCTGGACAAAAGACAGAGAACAGGGAGAGGCCTTCAGTGTCTCCATCTTAGAGCCCCAGAGAAGAAAACAAAGGAGAAACTCACTCTTCATACTGTGCAGATTCGTGATGCCTTTGATAACAGATGGGCTCCTTCCTTGTTTATCTGTCTGTTCAGGCTACATTCTAGGGGCCAGCAATCTAAAAATGTAAGATTCTGTAATTTTATTTTATTTTATTTTATTTTATTTTATTTTATTTTATTTTATTTTATTTTGAGACAGGGTCTTACTCTGTAGACCAAATTAGCTTGGAACTTGCAATCCTCCTGCCTCGGCCTCTCGAGCGTTCGAAACTCAGATGTGTACTACCATCTCTGCCTAAGTGTTTTTCTTCTTCTTCTTTTTTTCCCAGTCATATTATCAATAGCAAAAGAGCAACCAATAATTGCTTCAAGAGACTTGGGTCCTCTGAGCTGAGCTGAGCTGTGGGTAGCTCACAGTAGGAAACGGGGCAATCAGTTCATACTAATTACATCCCAAGAACTAGTCTGAGTACTTTATGTAGGTTAACACACTTGGTCTTCACGGAAGCCCTACTACGATAATTTACCATTTTAATAGAAAACATTTTTGGAAGGGGAGTGTTGAGACAAAGTCTTGAGCTCATTATGTATGTCTGGTTGGCCCCAGTCTTGCAGCCCTCCCACCTCAGCCTCCTGAAAGCTTACATGACAGGCAACTCTTTTTCCAGCAATCTTTCAATGTATTTATTTTACTAATTACCCACCATTATGCTACTTGTAAGGAATACTAATATCCCAGAGCTCAGGCTGGGGAGATAGCACTGTGAGTAAAGTGGTAGACACAAAAGTGTGAGGACCTGTATTTGAACCCACAGCACCACGTAAACTATCACCGCCCACACCTGTAACCCTAGTGCTGTGGCTGTAAGACAGGAGGCGGAGACCGGAGAATCTCAGAAGCACATGAGCAATCTAGCCTGGGTTAGAAGCAATGCACTGGACCCTGCTTCAAACAAACAGGGAGACTAACACTTGAGGTTGACCCTTGACCTCTGTATGTTCTTGTAGTACCTATGTGCTCTCCCTCTCGATTCCATTGACATGGTGGGGTATAGTTGTGCCACATGAAGAAATCTGAGAAGATGTTTTTGTACCACATGGAGTTTGTGAAAGCACCACGGTCTCTTTTCTGAGAGAATGGGTCAGAAAGATTTAACCCAGCCAGACATAATAGCAAATTCAGGTTTCCTCTCTGACATGAATAGGGACATCTTCCTGAAGGTAAGCTTGACATCAGGCATTTATCAGGGTATCCCGGACGCAGGGTAAGGAACAAATAGTACTAGAGACTAAACGGTAAGCACACAGTTTATCGCTTCACCTCCATGAGACCGACAGACACATGCCGAACGCTTCCTCCAGTGTAGCTAACAGGATGGTTTCCGCTCTGAACATTTAAAGGTAAAATGATCGCTTATCTCTATGGACTCCCTCACCCATTCAGCGGGAGACTCGAATACCCTCAGCAAAGCCCATGTTAATGAATCCTATGAGCTGGAGAGAGCAAGGCCTCTCCCGATGCCTCCTGAGTCAAAGGAAGGACGGTTCTCTAGACATTCGTCTCCATCTGCTGTGTATGTTTTAATTTTCTCCTGAAGTCTATGATGAGAACAGTGGGCACAGGCCTGCTGTTGTACAAGAAACATTCCAGGTGACAGGTCTTTGGCTATCTTAGTCTACTTCTTCATGTGATATCCCAAGTACTTTTTCCTAGAGGGAGGAAGGGAAAGAAAATCCTTAAAATTCCAAGTTTGATTCACTGCTTAGCTGAAAACACAGGCTGGGGTTGGGGAGGATGTGGAAAGGTGACTTGGCATCCTTGGGGTGCCCACAGAGAAAGCACGGCCAAGGCCCTCTGTTACACATCCGGGGCTAACAGGCGGATGTATGAACTACGCAAAGGCTTTGAGACCCCTTTAAGAGTCCCAAAAGTAAGTAACGAAGCATTGATTGTGAAGAGGCTGGAAACTTGTTTTATGAAAGACGAAGGTCACAGAAGTTCACATGGTGATGTGAACACACACAATCACGGACGCACAAACACAGACATACATGCAAACACAGACACATATACATACATACATACATACATAGATACATACATACATACATACATACACAGATATATACATACATACAGACAGACAGACACACACACACAGAGAAACATACACAAATACATACAGACACAGAGAAACAGACATATACACAAACATTCACACACATACATACATGCATACATATATACACACAGAGACACACATATATACACACATACACATGCAAAAAATTACAGACACACATACACAGATACGCATAAACAGACAACACAGAGACACACATGCACACATGCATATACACATACATATATACACACAAACATGCAAACACACATATACACACACACATGCACATACACATATACACAGAGAGACACACATATATACACTCACAGACACACACGCACACAGACACATATACACACATACACAGAGAGACACACATATATACACTCACAGACACACACATGCACACACAGAGATATACACACACAAACACATATACACAGAGAGACAAATACACATAAACACACACATGCACACACAGACATACATGCATACATGCACACACACATGCATACATGCACACACATATATATACATATATACACACACATACACATATACTCATATACAAACACACAGGCACACACACAAACACACATATACACTCACAGACACACAAGCACTCACACATACACACACACACCCTTCAGCAGCTGCATGAATTTTTAATCTCTGAAAAGCCCCCTTCAAATTCCTCCAGAAGGACTCATCTGCTTCCTTTAACTGACTCTTCTTTTCTCTCTAGCTAGCAGCCAAGTTAAATAGTTAGAATATTTGCCTTCATTTCTTCTTTTGTCTGATTACTGGAATTGGAGCCATTTAAAAAAATTATTTACCAAAAATATAATTATACCATAAAATTCTCCCTGCTAAAGTGCATAGCTTAATGGCTCTTCCTCTTCAGAATTGTACAACTATCACCCCTGACCTGAGAACCCTTTCACCGCTCTTGAAAGAAACCCTATGCCTATGAGTGGTCAGCCCCAGTCCCTCACTGTCAGCTTTCTGTTTCCGTGAATGTACTTATTTTGGACATTTTATATGAATAGAACCATATAACAAGGGACATTCTTGTCTGGCTTCTTAGCATAATGGTTTTTTTTTTCTGTTTCATTTTTCAATCATGTATATGCATGTGTGTCTGTGAATGTGGGCACATAAGTGGTAGTGGTAGTGGGGCCCACAGCGGCCAGAGGAAGGCATTGGAATCCTGGGATCTGGCGTTACAGGTAGTCATGAGAGGCCCAACATGGATGGTGGGAATCAAACTTGGATCCTCTGAAACGGCAGCAAATGCTCTTCATCCCTGAGCCATCGCTCCAACCCAGCCTAAGGTTTCATAAGGTTCACAGGGCTTTATTTCCTTTTGTGGCTCCGGTGTGTGTATATGTGTGAGTGCATGTGTGTGTGTGTGTGTGTGTGTGTGTGTGTGTGTGTGTGCTCCCTTTTGCTAGCTGCCATTATTAATTGATGGGCACTGCAGTTGTTTCTGCTTCATAGCTGTTGCAAATAAAGAATATTGCCATGAAGACTTACGTACATGTTTTGGGTGAGATGTGCAGATGGTAGCTTTCTTTTACTTTCTGTGGTGCTTGAGATCAAACCCACTGCCTTCGCCTGCTAAATTTGTATTCTGCCACTGAGCTACACACCCAACTCCTGGTGACTCTACTTAACAATTTGCTAACTGCCAGATTGCTCCCCCAAGGGGCTGCACGGTTCTGCAATCCAACCAGTGATGTAATCAGGGGGATTCCAGTTCCTATAGCCTCACAGATAATCCTTGCCACAAGCATCCCAGAGGGGAGAGTTCTTCAACTTTCTGGCTTCCATCTCCCCACGATTGAAACGAGCATGCATGTACCTTCTCTTTTGCTTACTGACAATTTCTATAGCCTCCCAAGATAAATCTATCGACCATTTAAAAAAAAAAATTACTTGTCCTTTTTATCATGGAATTGTAAGAGTCCATTACATCTTCTGGATGTAAATCATTTTATTTCAATATATGACTTGTAAAAGTAGTCCCCTACTCTGCATGTCTGCCTCCACAACTTAACACTTTTTATCAGTCTGTTTGAGTTCATTTTGTTCTCTTCCCTCCCTCTCTCCCTCCCTCTCTCCCTCCCCCCTCCTTTCTCTTTCTCTCTCGCCTCCAATCTGTTTCCCTCTTCAATCTGTATCCTTGTTTCCTCCTCCTCTCTTATTTTCTCTCCCTTCCCCTCCTCTCCCCTCCCCGTTCCATACTGGGGATCGAACCCAGGGCCTCACACTTGCCAAACACACACCGCACCACTGAGCTGCTCTGGTCATTCCTCTTCTTACCCCCTCCCCACCCTCCAACAGTGGTCAGGAAAGAAGGCAGCATAGGAACTCAAAGGCCCCTTGAGAAGAAGAAGAGGGAACTGAAATACTGTTGAGGGATCTAATCCTTTCAGAATTAGTCAGGCAGCTTGAAGTTGGGGGTGGTTAGCACACTCCCCAGTTCTCAAACCTGTGAAAGTGGGAAGCAGCAAGGGGTAGAAGGCTGGGCTAAGTGGGGTGCCACTGAGGACGGGGGCAGGCTTTTCAGCTAAGTGGGATTGTATGTTACACTTCCCAGCCTATGAGGAAGACCCAGGGACATTCTGGCCATACTTGACTCAAACATTCTGCTGGCCCCTGAAGCACAGTATAAAAGAAGCCCAAGGATAACAAGTGAGGGCTTCTCCTCCTAAGACTATCCTTGACCACTTGGGAATGAAAGCTCTGGCGAGACCATTTTTTCCAAATTGGTCAGTCCTTATGTCAGTCTTGAACATGGCAGTTTGGGGGGTGGGATCTCAGGGAACAGAGATCCGTGACAGAGGAAGGGCTGAGGCTGAGGCACAGAGGGAAGGAAGCTGTCATGATTGCTCTCAGCTCATAAAGAATAGATGCGAGTCTAGTCGTTCCCTCTTCAGTTTGTGTCCCTATGTCTCTGTTGAGGTCTATGCAGCAATGTCGGATCTCAACTGTAAGCCCGAGTCCCTGAGGGAAGATCAGCCTACATCCTGTAGCATCAAGGAGTGTGAACAAGTGTGCCCTGTCCTCATCTGACCAACAGAATTCTGCTGCTGCAGAATTAGTGAAAAAAGAAATGGCATTCATTGGGACAAGTCTCACCCGTTCACTTCCTGCTTCCTCCAACCCTTTGCCCCCTCCCCTGACATACACTCCGGGAGCTCAGTAAATATTTGTGGACAAAGAAGACCATTGCTAAAAGTACGTTCGGATGGATGGGACTTGTCTCTTGCCACTCAAGAACTGCTGCACAGATGTGGTCCCTCTGTGATGATAAAATCTTATCATCCGGCCCTTATTAGAGAAGCTGTGTGTGTGTTAATGTCTCACTGTCTAGTCTAGGCTGCTCCCAAACTCACACTCTTCCTGCCTGGGCTTCCCAAGTGCTCATATGTATCACAGTGGCTTGCTGGAAGGATTCATCTTCTTAGTGGGTTCAACTTACCCATCCACCGTTCTGCTGCACCCAGGGGGAGAAGTACTCTCTTAGATACTTGGTCCCAAAGCCCAGCATCCTATTCATTGGGTGGTTGTCTATGGCTGTGAGCTTGGCTATGGCGTCTATTGCGAGGGCAGCCTTGAAGCCCTGAGCTTTGACCTCTGATTCTCCTCTGGTGTCCACGTTCCTCAGGAACAGGTTCGTGATGGTCCTGAAGGTGGAGTAGGACAGCCCATCCTGGAAGCTGCTCATCAAAGCCTTGTCTTTCTTTATCTGGGTACAAGAAGAAAAGCAATCAGGAGGCATGGCAAAGGTCATTTCTACACTCCAAAGCACCAGTAGAGAGACCTTGGACTGCAGTGTCAACCTGGCACTACATCCCACAGAGCCAAGTGGAGCCATGAACCTGTTCTGTTAATCTGTTTCATCGGTGCAAATAAGGGCAAAACTGAAAATTTGACTCAATACTCAGGTCCTTCCCAAGCACCAGAGATGGACAGGTGTCATGGTTGATGAAGACTCACCCACAGGGCCTACAGTCTAGTGGGAATGGTAAAATAGTGCTGTGTGCTTTTCAAGAGGCAGGGTGATGGATGGGACCCGAGACTTAGGAATGTCTTAGGGTGTACACTCTGCCTTATCCTCTCGGTACAATCTCATTTGTCATTTCTACGGATTTCATCTCTAAACTAGCATAATGATAGCACAGTGTTAGACAAGGAGGAGATCTGGGGGCACAGTGAAGCCAGGGAAGACTCCCCATGTGCATTTGTTCACTAAAAATAAAAGGAGGGGGGCTGGGGCGATGGCTCAGTGCGTACTTGCTGCCAAGCCCGACTTAGGCCCCTAGGATCCATGGTAGAAGGACAACACAGACTCCTGCAGGCCTTCTGATATACATGTTTGTTTCATGGCACATGTACACCCCACCTCAACTCCACAAAAGATAAATAAATATACAAAAAAAAATCCAGATTCCTTCTCCATTATTCAACCCAATTGATTTCACCCCCGGCTTCTTCCTATCTGTTGTTCGTTTCCTTTGGATTGTTATGCTTCTCTTACTTTGTTTTTGTTCTTGAGACAGGCTCTTACTCTGTAGCTCAGGCTGGCTTGAACTCCCAAGTGTGGGATTATAGATGTGTGCTATCATGCCTAGTACCTTATTAATTTTTTCTCTGGTTGTTGATATTTAATGGCAATTCTACAGATGAAGCCATCCCTTCACGAGGTAATCCTTGACCTGATGGGTGGCCATGAGTGCCAGAGAGTTGAGTCTCATGCTAAGGGACTGTGAACTGCTGCTTGAGTTCCATATCCATGATGCTATCAGGTTCCTGTTTCCTCTGAGGCCCATCCTACCCCTGCCAGTGACACCAAAGCTCACACTCTCTGCTCTCTTCTCTTTAGCCCAGTACCCTCAGTTTTTACTTCACACCTTCCCTAGGCCCTTTGTCCCCTTTTATTTCATTATCTGGGCACATGTCTGTCAAGGCTGTTGGGAGAAGAGCTGTGATCATGCTGAGACTACCACCGTTTAATTCTGCTTTTCCCTTCTGCAGAAGCCCACATGCATTGTCTCTGGATACGACTTCCTCCCATCAGGTCTTGACCACAAAAGAAAAATCCTGACTGTGTACAAAAGGAATCTAGAATAAGCTGGATCCTGATTGACAGACCTGAGAGATGGGTGATTGTCTATGGGCACAAGATGCAGAAGATGACCTCTGACCACACTATGAGTTTGTCAATGTCACCTGAGGACAGCTGTCTCACTAATGAAAAGGGTGGGCCTCCACTTCTCCACCTCATTGTGTTCCCTAAGTTGCACTAGACTGCCTCCCTAGGTGAACTGCTTAGACAGACTTTAAGCAGGCCCAGTCCAGCAACTGTATGGGAGGATTTCTGAGAGGATCCAAGCCTTTGAGCAGCCGTGAGACACACATCCAGGGTGCTGGGTGATTGCAGACATCCAGAGTCCCCTGAGATTCAGTTACACAGGGAAAGAGGTTGATAAAACTCATGCAGCGAATTTTCATTTTCCAATGTCTCTTCTTACAATAACAGTTGAGTTTCTAGTTTCCAGAAATTCCAAGGAGGCTCCAGAAGATTTACTTATGTTTTCCAAAGTGATTCATTCTTGAGATGCTGCCAGCATGAAGATGTGGACTCCAAGGGAAATAAAATTTAGGACTAAGTAGAAACCAGGACCCTGGAGAGTACGAGGGTTAGAGCCCTGCTTGCAATTCCAATGTCCTGGCCTAGTGCGTAGGCGCAGACAGGGATCATCAGCCCGAGGACCTCCGTACCTCTCTTTCCAACTGATCCCCCGAGTATTTCAGCAGCTCAACGATCTTGCTTATCATTTGCTCTTCTCCATCTGTCGGGGATGAGAAAAATTCCAGTTATTTCTTTCAAAATAATAAACGTTTCTTTCCAGTGGCAGTGCTTGTGTCTTGGTTAGGGATGAAGAGAACTTCTCCAGTCCCATCCCTTGTTTTCTTTACCTGGTCCACCCTTTCCTTCTCTGAGAAACTTACCACTCTATTTACTGTATAAATGCTGTCGAAGACATCAGTTCCACAACATATAATCCTGTCCATGAAGATACATAGGAGACATTTCCCTCTTATTTATGTTTAATTTTTATTTTTCCACTAGGTTATAGCTACAGCCCATTCCCACCCCACCTGGTATAGGTCAAAATCAGGGCCTCCTGCTTTCTAGGCCAAAGCTTCACCACTGAGCCACATCCCCATCCCTCCTTCCTGTTTTCAGGCTATTCTTCAGTAGATGGTACTCATGTGAAATAGAAATAAATCCCATGTGTGTGTGTGTGTGTGTCTATGTGTGTGCCCATGTGCATGTGGAGACCAAGGGTCAACACTGGAAGTTTTTCTACCTCAGTTTTTGAGACAGGAGCTCTTACTGAACCGGCGCAGAGCTGGACTGACTGGCTAGATGGGCCTTGTGCTGGACACACAGGTACATGCCCCTGTGCACAGCTTCAGATGGGAGCTGGGGTTCTGAACTCAGGCTCTGGGCACAGAGAACACTTTACCAGCTGAACCAACTTCCCAGGCCCATAAATTCCACGTCGGATTATATTTCTACCGTTGTCAGAAAGCATGGAGCCAAATGTACAGCCCAAATGAGGAGTAAAATTTTGGAGGGGGACTAATTTGGGGACTAATCTCCTTCTTAAGCCCATTTTATTCCCCCCATGTGGTCTTGTTTTCTTTTCTTTTTACGTTGCTTTTAAACTTGGTTGGCTTTTATGTGACTAAAATTTATGCTCTGTTACTCCATGTCTCTACAAGATGAGAATGAAATGAACACATTCCTGAGGTCCCCAGGCTGAAGTGGTAGTTGGATTAAAACGTAGCTGCCGTTGGCATGGGCTATGAGGGTTTTCCTTTCACAGCTTGCTACTTTAGCAAACATAACGGTGAAAATGATCGTCACTATAGAGCAAAATCCAAACAAAACGGCCAGAAACTGAGGGAATCGAGTTTCTGACTTAAGGCCCGGTCACTTGAAGCTACAGGACCCACAGATTTGTCTTGGCTAGAGGCAAGGGAGGCCAGGGAATTAAGGTAGCCAGGCCCAAGAAGGTGTGGGGAGGAGGAGCGGAGAGTGATAACCTGGACTCACAACCCTGAGAGAAAAAACAGGCCTGTAAATCTCCACAGCCCTGTCTGCTCTGTCTCCCTGGGAAAGATGCAGTGCTGGAGTCTTGGATTCCTCCTGCACACAGCGGGGAGTGCCTTGGCTTCAGCTTGCGTGAGGATATCAGTTTCTACCTCCCAGGCACACTTGGGATGGCAGTAAAGCCTCAGCTCTTTCTTGTTAGCATGCTTGGAGGGCTCCCCACTCAGAGCCTCTGTAGCATTTTTTTTGGTTTCGGATAGACAGCAGACAGTGGAAAAAATCCACACCCTGTCTCAGGGTTTGAGATAAATGATGCTTTTCATGGAGAGGACACTGCTTTGTCCTTTACACTGCAGACCCTGGAGTCACTTTGTCATCATCGTTACACCCCCTTCTGGGGCTGAGGAGAGTGCTGAGACGAAGATCAACAATGAAGGAAGGCAAACCCAGCTCCCTTCAAGTCTTCCCTCTGAACCCAGGGTTTCCATAAGGCTTATAGAGTCTGTAGTAGTCCCAGCCATTGCTACAGTATAGGCAGTGACTAGTCTGATCTGGTCCCAAATTCTCCCTTTTTTCAACACCTTCTGAATCAGACCTGATGTTGCTGAATCAAATATGAATTGTTCCCCACAGGTTCATGCTTTGAATGCCTGTCCTCAACGGTTGGCACTATCTGGGAAGGTTGTGGAGGAGGTGGGGCCTGACTGGAGGAAGTGGGACACTGAGGGTGGGCCTGTGGAGGTATATTATGACCGGCCACTTCCTGCTTTCTTTGCTTTCTGGTTGACTATAGAACAAAAACAACTGCCATCTGCAGCCACGTTCTTCTGCCTAAATGTATGTGGCCAACAACCATGGATGCAACCCTCTGAAATCGTAAGCCAAAATATTTTTTTTTCCCTTCCATTGCTTCTGGTAGGCACTTTTCTCACAATGGCAAGAAAAACAAATAGCAACCTACCCTGCGAGTCTGACAGTGCTGGGTGTTTCACAGGAGTCCATGGTTGGTTGATGCTCTAACTCTATGTACTAACATGATTAGAGCTGACATTGCCTCCTCTCCCTCCATGGGAGACTTTTCTTTTGACTTAGCTGTGAGCTGACATGTTGGTCATGCTAATGGCACCCCTGTGTCGTGGGCTGATGTCTTAAGCAGGAGCTCAAGGTCTCCATCATGTTGCCTTGACGCGGGGTAAGAATCCCAATCTGCAGAGCCCAGAGCTGTGTACACACAAATGTACCCACACACTGCTGTCTGGCACATGCTCAACCCACACACTCAGCAAGGAAGGCTTACCTTTCTTAGAATCACAAGCTCTAGACTGAGGGCCTTGAAGCTGGAAGTGCAGAATCTTTGGGGCACTCTCTTTGAACTTGCCTCCTCCCTGGTTGTGGCTGTCATCTGGTGGTGGCCAGGAGTAAACGATTTCAGCCACTCTGTTAGCAATACAAGCAACTTTGGAATCCACAGCTGAAACAAGAAAGAACTGCTCAGAGGGTATCCCTGGAAGTAAGACTGCAGCATGGACTTCCAGTTGTCTAGGATGAAGAGGCCAGCCTCGGATAAGAGGACTGTGTCCAGGAGTTTGTGTTGGAGGCAGGACATTCTTCAGAAGGGACTAGCAATTCCCCAGCAGGCTGGGATGAGGGAGCAGTATACAGATGTCCTTCCACACCCCCATCTTTTCTTCCTTGCAAAGGAAGGAACACAACGGAGTGGGGGTGGAGGGGCTAGCATTGCTCGAAACAATGTTCATGATGCTTTTATTTTCATCAAGTGTAATTATGTTTGGGGATACCCTTTATACATTGGAGAGGTGGCCTCTCAGTTCCCAGGAAAAGACTGGGACTCCTTGCTTTTATAGTCACAAATTTTCCCTTTAAGTTTAATAGAAAACATTCAAGTAACGCTTATAGGTAAACAAGGCTACATAGACACGACCACATCTGTCACCTCAGCACTTAGGAGGCCAGGGCTGCAAGGTCGTGAGTTTCAGATATCTCAGAAGAGTAAGTGCATAATGTACAACTCATCTTTCTTGAGTTTGTAAGCCAGGAAGTGATGCATCGTGTGTTTGAACTCAGGCAGGAAGACTTACATGGCATAGACTAAGGTTATAGCCACTCAGAGACAATGCAGCTTCGTATCTGCTTGGGGAAAGCAGGGTAGAGCAGGCAGTATGTGGCTGACTTGTTGGGGAGTCACTGGTGTCCCATCAATCAGCTCACTGTAGACACTTGAGGTGGTTCTGTGTTTGGTGTCGAGTGGAGCAGCTGAGTCTAATCATTTCTTCACAGTAATTAATGATAGAGGAGGGTCAAGAGGTAGGGGTCAGCCTGGGTTACATAGCGAGGTTCTTTCTCAAATAGGTAAATAAACCCACAAATATATACATAAAGAAAGCCAAATAATCTAGAAAGAAAGCCATCTCTGCCTTTCTTTTTTTCTTCCTGCTTGAAATGGAGATATGGTATCTAGAATCCCCAGAGCCGTGTAGAATATGTTCTTCAGAACACACGACATATAATTAGACATACATAAAACTGTATTATGGGGGCTGGGGAAATGACTCGGTGGTTAAGAGCACTGACTGTTCTTCCAGAGGTCCTGAGTTCAATTCCCAGCAACCACATGGTGGCTCACGACCATCTGTAATGGGATCCGATGCCCTCTTCTGGTGTATCTGAAGACAGCTACAGTGTGCTCATATACATAAAATAAATAAACCTTAGGAAAAAAGAACCCGTATGTATTATGGTTGTGTACACTGTAATATGTGGTTATTCAGCCTAAGATACAATTTGGCCAATAAACCCACTCTGTCAGTGTTTAGCTGAATTTAATTTTTATTCTTAATCTCACCTGAAAATTATTTTTCTTCTTTCTAAAAGGGGAGAGGATGATGTGGGCGGTTTCTTTTGAAAATTTAGCTGGGAAAGCCAAGCGATACTCTTGTCATTTTCTCTAGGAAATGGGGAAGGAAGACTGTAGAAACTTCCTGTCTCCCTGTGCAGGCCACAGTGACCCTCAAAGTCTGGTCACTGGGGCCTTTAGGCTCCCAGCTGTGATCCACAGTAGGAAGCGTGGGGCAGGAGAGGAGGACAGAGCCCTTCATCCTGTGACCTCAGTCACCTTTGCATTTAGGGAGCAGATGCCTCAGTTTGCTCTGAGAGTTAAACAAATCTGGGAAGATGGCCTCCGTGTAGTCTAGACTGTGTGTCCTGAATCAGTGCCCCGCCACAAAGTCTCACTGCCTCTTGAGTGATGGGTTCTATGTATTCTCTGGAGCCTGCATCCTCACCATCTAACTGAAGAAGTTCCGTTGGTCACAGACTGGTTTGGAGCCATCCACATGCAGGGCGGACTCCAACTTAGGATGATCATAACACTTTAAAACTGAGTCGTTACTGCCATCTGTTGACTAATTATGGACAAGTTTCCTAGGCCCACCTAACCTGGCAGGAAGGGGTTTTGCTGAGGTGGGAGTGGGTGGATGGGAGATGCTTCTGCTGAGGTAAAGTGTACCTCAGTGGTGGTAAAGCCCTCAGTGATAGTACAATTGGTTTTTGATTTTCCTAACAAGGGAAGACTTTATCAGGTTTTTTTTTTTTTAAAGAATAGTTTACATTTTTTTTTTTGGAAAAGCTTCCCTTTTTTAAAAGATTTAATTTATGTACTTTTAAACACATGGGTGTTTTGTCTGCATGCACACCAGAAGAGGCATTGAATCCCATGGGACTACAGTTATAGAATTGAACTCAGGACCTCTGGAAGAGCAGTGGTGCTCTTAGCTGCTGAGCCATCTCTTCAGCCCAGTGGTTTATGTTCTGAAAAGAATTTTGTCTCTTTTCAGTTTTTCAAGTCAGTCTTACAGTATAATCCTAAGCTGGCTTCCAACTTGCTATGTACCCCAGGATAGCCTAGAACCCGCCATGCTTCTCTTTCTGAATGCTGAGGACTGCAGGTATGAGTCAGAGCACTCAACTGAAAACCTATTTGCTTATATCTCTTTGCCTGACGGCCTCTCTTTCCTTCCTTTCTTCACTCTCTCTCTCCCTCCCTCCTTCCCTCTTCACCCCGTCACTCCTTTCATGCCCCTTCCCACTCCCCGCCTCTTTTCTCTTCTCTCCCTTCCCCTTCCCTTCCTTTCTCTTTCTCCCTCTTTCCTTTGTTTATATGTTGTTGAAGATAGGGTCTCATGTAGCCAAGGTTGGCATTCACCTCACTATGTAACCAAGGCTGACCACAAACCCTTGAAAGTCCTGCCTCCATTGTCTCAATGCTGGGATAATAGGGTCTTCTCCTTGGTCTTTCCATCAACCGGAAGAAGTAGGAGACAGTGTGACTCCCAATATACAGGTGTAAACACAGTACCCAGGGTCCTCAGAGGTGAACTGGCCCAGGAGGAGGCAAAGCCTCCCTGGCTAAGGTGCCTTCTGCCATGCTTCCCTCTCAAAACAAGCTTATTTACTGTCACAGAGCCAGAGAACCTCTGCAGCCACCATCCCCTCCCACCATCTTCCTTTCCTGGGGAAAGGGGATGGTTGTGGTGGAAGATTAAAGAATAGGGAAGCCCAGGCCTCTCTCTTCTGCAGGTAGGAGGAGGCCAACCACTCAGCACACACAAGGAGATGGGTGCTAGCCAGAGCCCTCCACACGCTTACCTTCACTCTCTAGGCGCTGTTCCACACTGGACAGGGACCTGGTCCAGTGCTGGTTGTGGAAGCCACTCTGCCGCTCTACTGAGAAGGGACCCTGAGCACCCTGAGCACCCTGAGCACCCTGAGCACGGATCTCCTTTGGGGAGCACAGCAGACCTTCCTCCTTTTCGGTCACTCTGAAGAGTGTTCTCCAAGAGGACTTCTTCTTGCCCAAGCTTATGTGCTTTTCACTGGAGGGGGAACCTCTACAAGGCAATGAGACCTGTGTCCAGGAATCAGTTGACCAAGTCCCCAGTGCTTTCTGGGACAAACTTCTTGTTCTGGAGAGCTTGGGGGAGAAGACAGCCGGGGTACTCTTGAAGACATGGTGTCGGGCATAGAAGGCTAGGATTTTGAACTCTATGCTGTTTGGGTCATCATCCTCCAGGGGGATGTCTTCCAGCTCATACACACTGGTGCTGCACATGTTGGGTCTGAAATGATAAAGGGCAAAGGTGCTCTATGTGTGGGGGAATTTTCTTTGCACGATAAGACAAAGAATGGGGAAGAATTGAGAAAGCATCTTTGCTCCTGATCTTACATTGCTAGGATAGGCAGGAGTAACCAGTGTCAGAAAAGCCATTGTGTTACTGGGACAGGAAGAGACAGAAGCATAAACAATACCAGGCAATGACAGAATATGAGCTCTAATGGAGGGGAAGATAACTGGTACGGGGAGGCAGGGACAGGCCCGCTTCAGATGGAGGAGCAAGTGAAGGCAGCAGAAAGACAGAGAATGTGCATTTACCTTTAAAACTTCATGGGCAGTTGCCTGGAGGTGGTGGTGCATGCCTTTAATCCCATCACTCAAGAGGCAGAGGCAGGTAGATCTCTGTCAGTTCAAGGACAGTCTGGTCTACAGAGCTAGTTCTAGGGCAGCCAAGGCTACAAAGAGAAACTTTGTCTTGGAAAAACAGAACACAAACAAACAAACAAACAAACGCCAAAAGTCAAACCAACCAACCAACCAACCAACCAACCAACCAACCAACTAACCAACCAAACCAAAATACTGCATGGGTAGAAAACAGATGTATGGAGACATGTGTGAAATTTGCTGAGAATGGTATAACACAGGTATCTGATGACTAAGGCTTATATCATGTAGCCCAGGCTGGCCCCAAACTCACTAAACCAGAATCATTCAGGGAAAATAAGTGAAAAAGCAGTTGTATCCAGATATACTCTCTCCCTCCCTTCCCCTCCCCTCCCCTCTCCTCTCTTCTCCTCCCCTCCCCTCCCTTCCCTCCCCCCAACCCCCGCCAAGGCAAAGGTTCAGTAGCAAGAAACCAGAAAGGGATAATTCTATGACAACTTCAACAAAGAAAATGGTGCAGTGTGTACTTCCTCTGTCCATATAGTTATTTGGAGGAAATGAAGATGGTCAAACCACTTCCGCCCATTTCCAGGCTTGGGGTGTTATTTCTAAAGGAAGCATGTGATCATGTCCTCTCCCATAGGAACACGGGAAAGCTCCCCACTACATACATTATTGACTTTCAATTTCTTAAAATAAATAAATAACGGGGACGCTAACCCAGTGACAGCTTATCCAGAGAGCCAGTTCCAGGAAACAAACCACACAAACTGAGGCAGAAGGTATCTCATAAAGGTAGAGGGAAAGGCCGTGTGCACAAACATCTTCTTACCACCCGAGTTGCTCCCGTCACAGCCTCAGGCTCTTTTGAAAGGATCTGTAGGAGCAGAGACCCCTTGGCCTGGTGGTCTAAAGACGTGTCACGTATTGAGAGTGTAGAAGATAATGCATGGTGGCACGTGTGTGCACATACACATTATACAATGATAATATGTGCGTGAATATATAAGTATGTATGTATGTGTGTCCATGGGAGCTATACCAGGCGTGATAGCCCGTGCTCAACACTAGGAGGCTATACCAGGCGTGATAGCCCGTGCTCAACACTAGGAGGCTATAGCAGGCATGATAGCCCGTGCTCAACACTAGGAGGCAGAGACAGAAAGATCGCCAATTCAGGCCGGCTACTACTTTATTCCTCTTTTTGTCACGTGCACATCAATTGCTGACAAGGACACTGCTCCTTGGAAACAGGTCATTAGGCGACAGTGCAAACCGTATACTGATGCATGCTACGGTTATCATACCAGTTGCGGATACAACCTCAAGGGACGAACAATCCTTACATCTTGTAAGGCTGATGCTGACAAAGACATTACTGTGTAGTGTGGGGCTGTGTCACTTTCCCTGCCTCTGTCCCTGGTGGGGCTCTTAGCTTCCTTCTGTTGCTGGTCCTGTTGGGATTTTGTCCTGAAAGCTGAAGAGACTGTAATCATAATCGAGCTATAGTGATCTTAGAGGATTCCACTGGCACACCCCTCCTTTTCCTTCCACTATGCTCTCATTCCAGGACCAACCTATAAAAGAACAGGATAGCATCTGCAGACAGGGATTGAAGCAGTAGGACATGGTTCAGACAGACAGACTGGGACTCATGACCATGGTCTGACAGCTCTAAACTCACATTATTACTGGGCAATTCAATCTCTTTGCTCCTTGTTTTCCACATAGACTGAGGTTCACATGTCAAGGATCTAGTGACAATACACTTCCCTAACACACACAAGGACCTGGGTTCCCAGCACCATAAGAAAATAAACTTCTTGTCTAGATCGAGAACGTTCTCTAACTCTCCTCCTATGGCTTTGATGTTTGAAGAAGGAATAGGGTTCCAGCATCTTCTCAGGATAAGTGCTTCCTGATCCTGTGTGGTAACCCTCTTTATTTAGAAGAGGCTGGAGCCTCTGAGGAACAGCTTCATGGCCAAGCCCAGGACTGAGCTAGGCAAAGTCTAGCGGAAGGCAACTGGGAGCTACAGGGTGGTCGGGCCAAAAGTGAAGTGGAGATTGAAGAGAAAGAAGGGGCTTCCTCAGGGCAGTGACAGGCAGTCTTGTAAAACTCACCTGCTACACATACAGTCGTATTTATACACAAATAAGTGGGTGTGAGTAAGCACTCGGGGAGCACAGCATGAAGGGGCATCCTGGCCAGCATCTTTCTGTTTCTTCATATTCTGGGCCAATTCCTATGCTTTTGGCATTCTGTTTTTCCTTAACCGCTCCAATTGCACACTGATTATGCCTGCTGTCTAGGACTCTATCGGGAGCCACTAAGCTGTCTGGAGGACACACTTCTTCCTGCTTTCTTATTGATGTTCTTCCTTTGCCTATTAAGCCGATCTGCCCAGTGTTTCCTACGCAAGCCTTCTCCCAGGTCACTAGCTCCTCCCACTCACCTAGCCTGTCTCTCTCCTCCATCTCCCATCTCTTCATGATGTCCCCTGCTGCTTCAGCTCCTCTGTTCTCCTCAGAACACCATCATGTCTCACTTGGATTATACTGAGATCTTCTCCTCTCTCCAACCCAGGTTCCACCCAGTAGCCAAATGATGGCTTAAGAATGGACATCTTAGGGCCTGCTTAGATGGCTCAGTTGCAGAAGTACTACCTGTACAAGTTTAACAATGTGAGCTTAATCCCCAGAACCCACAGAAAAGCCCGACTTGGCATACATGTGTGTATTGTGACGAGATAAGAGGTAGAGATTGGAGAATCACTGGAAAGATGCTGTCTTAGGCTTACTGTTGCCATGATGAAACACCATAGCCAATGCAACCTGGGGAGGAAAAGGCTTATTTGGCTTACACTTCCACATCACAGTTCATCATCAGAGTAAGTCAGGACAGGGACTCCAGCAGGCCAGGAACCTAGCGGCGGAAACTAATGCAGAGACCATGGATAGGTGCTGCTTACTGGCTTGCACCTCATGGCTTACTCAGCTTGCTTTATAGAACCCAGGACTGCCAGCCCAGGATGGCACCACCCACAATGGATTGGGCCCTCCCCTATTAATCACTAATTTAAAAATGCCCTACAGGCTTGCCTATAGCCCAGTCTTTTGGAGACATTTTCTCAATTGAGACTTTCCTCCTCTCTGATGACACTAGCTGATGTCAAGTTCACATAAAACAAGCCAGTGTAAGTGGCTCATGGGTCAAATGGCCTGGGGTAGTCAGCGGACAGGACAATAAGAGAGATCCTGCCTCAAAACAAGGTGGAAGGAGTGAACTCCCCAAAGTTGTTCTCTGCCCCGCATACCTGTGTCGCACAGGCATGTGTACCCCAAACTCACCCCCAGAGTATGACTTAACACCTGAATCGTATCAATAGCACCTGTACTCAATGACCAACTGCCCATCGTCAAAGCGGAGATGAGCATTCCGTGTCATTTGTTGTGACTAAAAAGATGAAAACCTATGACATGATTTAAAAGATCAGAGCTGTAGATCTACTTAAAGAACTTATTGCTCTTGCAGAGGACCTGGGTTCCACATGGTGGCTCTCAACCATCTGTACTGCTAGTTAAAAAGGATCTAACGCAGTCTACCGCATCCTATGGGCTCCTGCTTATATGCGGCGCATATAAACTTTTAAGCTCACATGCATACACATGAGGAAAAAAAGTTTTAGTAGATTTTAATCTGAAAAAAAAAAGATTTTAATCTGATCAAGTCTCTAGATCTAACACCATTTTACAGAAAATATAGGAGGCAGAGGAACAACCTAATGATGAAGATGCAATGTTCTAAACTCAGGGTGTGGCTAACGGTGCAAGATGAATGCAGGTGAGCCTGTGAGTCCACCTACTCAGGAGGCTGAGGCAGGAGAATTGCAAGTTTGAGGTCAAGCACGGCTACATAGTAAGACTTTGTCTCAAAAAGAAAGCATGAGGCCAGGGGCCATTTTTTCTTCACAGATGGAGCTCATACGCACATACAAACACATACTAAGGTAAGAGAGAATGTTACAGACTGGAAGACACATAAACGCATTCCTCTCATGCAATGAGTGCTTTAGATCTGAGTTCAAACCCACTCACCTTATAAGATGCAGACGCTTTGAGAAGGTAAGGAAGGTCTGAATATGACGCGTGCTTTTCATGGCATTGACTTGTATCGCTACGTGTATTTGCTGTGTGTGCAAATACAGTAAGGTTTACACAGCACAAGGGTATGACAGCTGATCTTCATTGTCACCTGACTGGATTTAGAATCACCTGGGAGACACACATCCGGGCAGGGCTGTGAGGGCCTTTCTGGAGAGCTTTAACGGAGGAAGGGACACGCGACCTGAATGTGAGTGGCAGCATCCCATGGGCTGGGAAAGGGAAGAGAGTGAGCTAGCCCTGGCATTCACCTCTCACTGCTTCCAGCAGGAGCCCCTGTGTGACCAGCCGTTGGAAGCTCCTGCCACTACAGACACAGCCACTGTCACTGCCAAGCCTCCCCTACGTATGAGTCCAAATAAACTCCCTTCTGTAAATTCTATCAAGTATATTGTCATGGCAACAAGGGTAACTGCCACGGATATGAAGAGTGGAGCTTTCCAAGCACCTAAAATAGTGCCTGACAGTTTGCAGGTGCTCACCAAATACAAGTGAATGAATGAATGGATGAATGAATGAATGCCAGATGAAACACAAGGCATCTGGTGGATTATGAATTTGAGCAGGGTTTTTTTTTGACAGATTATAAATAAGTGTTACTATATCTATGTCCCAAAAATTACACATTGAAATTTTTTATCTAAAATTCAAATGCAACCGGGTGTCTTGTATTTGCTAAATCTGACAACACGGTGAACAAAAGATGCCTGAGACCTGATGGCTGAAAGGTTGGGGCCGAGGAAGCTGAGACAAGCGAAAGAGTCAGTCAGAAAGTATGGCCGCAGTGGGGTCTTCCTTCACAGTAAATGGGACTAAGACTCAGGTGAGACCGAGCTCAGATTCCTTAGAGAAGGGTTCTGGAAGCTTCTTTTAAATTGGGCAGTTTGGGGTCAGGTGTGGTGGGTCACACAGTCAATCCCAACACTCCGGAGGCAGAAGCAGGGGCAGGTAGATCTCTGAGAGTTCAAGGCCAGTTTAGTCTCATAGAGATACCTCCCCCTGTCCCATCTAAAACTGTTAACAAAAAACCAAACTGGGCAGCTCAGGGCAGGCAATGGGCGGGACATTCTTGTCCCACAATCGTTTCGTCGGAGGACAAAGTTTGGAGCCCTGTGCCTCCACGAGAGATGTTCGTGGATGTTCACAAAACTCAAATACCTCAGTGTAACATAGAGAGCGGGTGTGGACTTTCCAACTGCAGCTGTGCCCACATGTGCTCCAGGGAGAGGAAGGATCTGGCTTCTCCAAGAAACAGGTTCCTTAAATGGCTGACTCAGGAGCCTTGTCAGAAATGGGGGAAACCACTGAGCTGAAGAGAGAGCCTGATGTCCTTCCACTTCGTAAAAGGGGAGACTTTTATCTAGCCGGTTAGACAGGCCCTGAGGACTTAGATCAACCATCGGAGAGGCTAAAGCAGAAGGAATGTGATTGTCAGGGAACATGGCTGCAGACAGACAGATGGAAGACAGGGCTCCATGGTAGGAGCTTGGAACTCACATGGGCAAGTGGAAACAGAAAAACGTGAGAGTGAGTGCCCTCAGCAGCTGGGTGTGGTGGTCCATGCCTGTAATGCCAGCACTCGAGAGGCTGAGGCAGGACTGGTAGTTTGAGGCTAGCCTGCAGTGTAGGGAAGGAAAAATGTTGAGAGAGTATGTGAATATGAATACACTGTATAAATACATGGAATCCTCAAAGAATAGAGAAAATGTTTTTATTTAAAGTTTCGGAAAGGTTTCCCTCCACATTAGACCTTAATTAAGGGAGAACTAACTCAAAGCTGAAAGCTTGGTCTTATTTGAAAGCAGCAAGAGAATTTATCACTTTAAAAAAAAAGATTTATATGTTTATTTATTATGTATATGAGTACACTGTAGCTATCTTCAGACACACCAGAAGAGGGCATCAGATCCCATTACAGATGGCTGCTGAGAATTGAACTCAGGACCTCTAGAAGAACAGTCAGTGCTCTTAACCACTGAGCCACCTCTCCAGAATGTATCACTTTTGACGCTGTCTGCTCTCAGGGATTCCTAGTAACCTTTCTACTTATCAGAATAGTGATTTTCCACCTGTGGGTCATGAGCCCTTTGGGGGATTGACTGACTCTTTCACAAGAGTTGCCTAAGACCACAGGGAAGCACAGCTATTTACATTATGGTTTTTAGTGGCAGCAAAATTACAGTTATGAAGTAGTAGTGAAAATAATTTTATGATTGGAGGGGGTCATCACAACATGAGGAACTGTACTAAAGCATTAGGAGGGTTGAGAGCCACTGCAATAGAAGGTGTCTCAATTTCTGGACCATAGAAATATAAATGGTAAATTTTGTGTTGGCGGCAGTCCCAAGGGATTCTTCAGAGGTCTTAACGTTGATGTGTGGATTCAGGGACCCACCGTCTCTCTCACCCCGCTACAGCTTTCTTCCTGGTCACATCCCACACTCTCAAAGGCGAACACAGCAGCTTCATTGGCCTCCTTTCCCTTCCAGAGGGTTCCCTGAAAGCATCCCCTGAAAGGCAGTTAGTGGCTTTGTGTGTTGTGTTCTTCTGGGAAGACCAGACTGCAGGGGCCACCCAGACCCTGCTGAGTGGCAGTCACACTGAGAAGTTTTTCAGTCTGTGGACTCTCAGTCCGTGCTGGAGGAGATGAGATTTCACTTCCCTCCCACAGGCAGGTGGGTGAGCCCTTAGACAAGGCAGCAGTGAAATTTCACAATTCCGTGAGAGGTCACCAGAGTCTAGCGTCTGGGTTCAGCTGCAGTTGGAACCTCACTTGGCTTGCTGCACCTCTGCTCACCTTGGAGGCGAGAGCCAGGGAGTGTAAGTGTACTAACAGCTCCTCTTAGGGAGGTCCCTAGACCCAGCCACAAAGCTCTACTACACCTGGCCACTTTGAGCTGCACCTTCAGCATCCTGGGCCCCTTCTGCCAGGGGGACACTGTCTATACATCTCCCTCTCCTGCTTCCTCCAGACCTCTAGGTGTCTCTGGTCTTTCTGCCCTCTCTGTCATGTCCAAGGATAAGACAATTCTTCAGTTATGAAGGTGAGAAGAAGATGACACGAAACGTCTTAATTTCTCACAACAGAAGCTAAACACAGAGATAAAGCCTTGGGCCTGGGTCTCACTCAGAAGACGGACGCTCTGACTGGGGAAATGGGGACAGAGATCTCAGGGAGAAGAAAGCTTTCCCTAGGGGGTCTACTAGGACTTGGCTGAGCACCCAAGTTTCTACAGGGTGCTCATGTCTTCAGGTTCAACCGACGGGGGGGGGGGTCCCATCCTGAACCCCAACCATGTCCTCATGTCTTTATAAACCTTGTAATATTTCCATTGAGAGAGAAGACCGTGTTTAAAAAGACCAGTCAGCCATGGATTCTTTACCACCTAAACACCTCTGTATAAAGAGAAAGAAAGAGAAGCTTTTGTTGGGTGTGGTGGTGCATGCCCCTTTAATCTCAACTCTGCTGGAGGCAGAGGCAGGGGGATCTCTGTGTTCAAGCCCAGCCTGGTCTACAGAGCAAGTTTCAGGACAGCCAGGACTACATAAGAGAAAGAAACCCTGTCTCAAGCAAAAACAAACAAAAAAACCAGAGAGGGAAAGAAAAGGAGAGGAAGGGACAAAGGGAGAGGGAGAAGAAGAGAGAGAAGGAGAGGGAAAGGAAGGGGGAAAGAACTCCCCTCATAATTTATCTTGCTTTTTTCTGGAAACCCCAGTTTACTAGCTTGGCTCACATGAGTAGAATGTTTGTTAGCAGGGGCCCATAGCTCCTGAGTAAGATGGCCTCCATTGGTCAATGCAACCTGGATGCCAGCTCCAGAGGGATTAGAGACAGAGACTGCTGTCCCCTGCTGTTGTTACCTGATCTGCAGACTTTCAGCCGGTTTCCTCTGGCTTCAGGTCAGGTCTCAGGTGGCTATTTGTACACCAGTGTCTCTGAATGTGCAACTGAGAGGAAACCTTCCGCAGATCTTGGCTGTTCACGTCTCAGCTCAGTGACTGGAAGCTCCCAGGCACAGGCTCCTCAGGTTTGGGACCAAGACTGAGAGAGGCTTAAGAAAGGAAGTCACTTCCTCATTAAGCCCCGCCTCTAGCTCTTTAACTGAAGGAGAGGCTGCCCTTTGCTCAAGTAATTTGACTCGAAAAGCACTTAGATAGCCTTCACTAAACACTTCCACTGCCATCGGGCACAAACAGGTGGAGCTGTCTCGAAGGTCCCCTGCTTTGCATTTTATCTGTGTTTTCCGACCAGCCAATCCGTGGCAGGTACATATTTGAAAAAAAAAAAAAAAACTGTCCATCGCTCCTATTCCTTATAAATGGTGCACTGTTACTTTTGGGCATTTTCATAAAAACACATGCAATATGGTGTGACTGTCCTTTCTCTCCAGCCTTCTTCCCCCTCCTGTTAGTCCCTTTTGTTCCTCTGGACGGTTTTACTTCTACTTTCATGTCACGTGTTCATCGTTAAGGTTGAAAAAAAAAATCTGTTGTATGTACACACTACGTTTATCTGTCCATTCCTCTGTTGGTGCTCACTGAAGTTGGCGCCATCATTAGCTACTGTGAGCATCAAAGGGAAAGTGTTTCTGTAGTGGGTTGACTTAGAGGGTCATTTGAGTAAGTGCCAGGGTGAGTGACAGCTGAGTCACCTGGTTGGTCCACTTTAGCCTTTTAAGAAACCTCCATGCTGACTCCATACTGGCTGGGTACCTTCACACTGACTTCCACAGTGGGTGACTAGTTTAATATTCCTATCAGCAGGGCATACGAGTTCCCTTTTGTTTACAGACTAGCCAGCACCTGTTATGTTTTCTTTTCTTTAAAAAATATTGAGAGATTTTGTTTATTTTTATTTTCCATGTATGGGCGTTGTTTTCTTAATGACTGTCATTCTGACTGGAGTGAGGAATGATGTATATGTTTACTGGCCATTTGTATTTGGTCTTTTTAAAGTTATTAATTTGGTTAGTCCACTTATGTGGTATATAATTTCTATATACATTAGATATCAATCCTCTGTTTTGCTGACAGATTTTTTTCCTCATTCTGTATGCCATCTGCTGAATCAATGAACTGTTTCTTTACTGTAAAGAAGCATTGTCATTTCATAATGTCCTATCTGACAATTGTTGACATTGTTTTCTGAGCAATGGGAGACCTGTTCCGAAAGGTCCTCTCACTAGATGCTTCTCCTGCTTTTCCTTCTAACAGTTTCATGACTCACATTTGTGATTTGGATTCCTGTAGAGCTGGGTTTTTCACAGAATGAGATAAGGATCCAGTTTCATTCTTCTACATGTGGGAAAACCAGTTTTCGTAGCACTATTTGTTGAAGATGCTAGCTTTTCTTCAATGAATATTTTTGGCATCTTTGTAAAAAAGCAGATGTCGGTAGCTGGGTGGACCTATATCTGCAAACCCTACTCCATTTGTTTGATCTGCACATCAATTCTGTGTTAGTATCATGTTGTTTTTGTTACTATGGGTCTACAGTATAACTTGAAATCAGGCATATACAATGCCTCCAGATTTCTTTTGATCCGGATTTCTTTAGCTATCTGGGTGTCTTTGTACTTCCATGTGCATCATAAGAGGGTTTTTTTTTTCTATTTGTGAGAATGATACTGGGATTTTGATGGAGAATATATTAAATTAGAAGGTTTTTTATGGCAATGTAGCCATTTTCACAATATCATTTTTCTAATCCATGAGTATGGGGCTCTTTCTGTCTCCTAGTATTTTTTAAATTTCTTTTTTGAATGTTTTAAAGCTTTAATTGTTGAAGGTCTTGGTGGATTAAGATGATGATGGTTTGAAGTCATTTCTAATGGAATCTTTTTCTCTGATTTCTTTCTCAGCATTTTTATTGGTGTACAGGAAGGCTGCTGATTTATGAGTGATAATTTCATATCCTGTCACTTTACCGAAAATGTTTATGCAATCTAAAAGTCTCTTGGTGGAATCTCTAGGGTTTATGTCTAGAAGCTTACCTGCAAATGAGAACTTTGATTTCTTGCTTTTCCATTTGTATCTATTATATTTCCTTCTCTTGTCTTTTTTTTAAAAAAAAAGATTTATTTATTTACTTATTTATTTATTTATTTATTTATAGACACACACTGTAGCTGTCTTCAGACACACCAGAAGTGGGCATCAGATTCTATTACAGCTGGTATTGAGCCACTACGTGGTTGCTGGGAATTGAACTCAGGACCTCTGGAAGAGCAGTCAGTGCTCTTAACTGCTGAGCCATCTCTCTCCAGCCCTCCTCCTCTTGTCTTATAGCTAAGGTCTTTAAATTTTTTAAATAAGAGGGGAAAGTGGACATCCACATGTTATTCCTGATTTTAGTGGAAACACTTTAACTTTTTCCCATTTAGTATACTGTTGGCTATCTATGTGACATATAGAATCTTAGTTAAGTTGCGATGTATTCCCTCTGTTTTCACGCTGGAACTTTTATCATGAAGGGATGTTGGGTTTTTAAAAACACCCCTCCTATATCTATCAAGAATATCATGTGATCTCTGTTCCTGAGTCTGTTTTTGTGATGCATTACATCTACTGATTTGCATACGTGTTGAATCATCCTCGAATCTCTGGAATAAGGCCAACATGATCATGCGAACAATTTTCTTTCTTTATTTTTAAAATTTTTTAAAATACATTTTTAAAATTTTGTTGGCAAATATTTTACTGAGATTTTTCTTCCCTCTAAGTTTAACAGAGAGATTGACTGGTCTATAATTTTCTTCTGTCGTTGCTGTTGTGTCTTCGTGTGGTTTGGTATAAGGGCTGCCAAGTCCATAAGTAAACTGGACAAATGGCTCTCTGTGGTGCCTGTGAACACACCAAAGCACTTGCTGGGCTCCAGGCTCGCTCAGTACCTGTGGCTCCTCTCAGCTCTTCTCATGCCTACCCTCTGTTCTAAACTTCTTCAGTTCATGAGCTGCCCTCTCTCAGCTTCTCATTCCCATGTAACTCTACCATTTTGGCCATGCGCTCTTCTTCTGTCTTCCCTCTTGTCTCCTTTCCTGCATTTTCTTTCTCTTCCCTTCCCTCCTTCCCCATCTCTAACCGCTCACAGCCCTGTCCAGTCTGCTGGCCGTGCTTAGTCTGCTTTCTCTTCCTGCTCTAGACTCTTCTAGATGCCTGGGCTGTCCTCTTCCTCAGGTGTCCACCACACCCTGGAACTGCGATGCCATCAGTGTGTACAAGGATAACACTGGCGTCATAAAAAGAATCTGATAGCATCTTTTCCTTTTCTTTGTTACAGACTAGTTTGAGAAGCTTGGCTTTAGTTCTTTAAGGTTCTGTCGAAACTCAGCAGTGAACCCATATGGTCTTGGATTGTTAACATTTTTAGTTAAGAGGTTTTTGTTTTGTTTTTCAATTTTATTACTGCCTCAATCTCATTGCTTGTTATAAGATCTGTTTAGTTTATGTCATATTGATTTAATTTTGGTATGCCATATGAGTTTAGAAATTCGTTCATATCTTTTAGATTTTTCAGTTTAGTTTTTAAATTATAGCCTCCCAATGAGCTTTTGCTTTTTATTGTTATCTGTTGTAATGTTTTCCTTTCATCTCTATTTTTATTACTTTGAGCTCTCTCTCTCTCTCTCTCTCTCTCTCTCTCTCTCTCTCTCTCTCTCTCTCCAATATTGTCTATCCTTTTGGTTCATTGATTCTTTGTATCAAGTTGTTGTGGTTAGTTTATAGTTCCTCAATTTCTGTCCTGATCTTAATTATTTCTTTCCATCTACTATTTAGGATTTGACTTATTCTTGTTTTTCTAAGACCCCCAACGTGTGTTGTTATTTGAAATCTGTAGGGCGGGGGTGTTCCGTATTTTAGTGTAAGCACATGTATATAGATTTGAGTATGTTGTCTTCTCATGTTCATCCAATGATAGGAATCTTTTTATTTCACTCTCGAGCTCCTTGAAGACCCATTTATCATCCAGAAGTGCTATTGCTTAACTTCTGTAATTTGTATAGGTTCCATGGTCTTTCTTGTGGTTAATTTCTAGTTTTATTTCATTGTGACCACATAAAATACAATAGATTATTTCAACTTTCTCATATTCATTAAGACTTGCTTTCTGCCCTAACATATGGTCTAGTCTAGGGAGAGCTCCACAAAAGCTGGGAAGAGTGCCATTGAACTCAAGTTTCTTATTTAGTTTTTGTCAGTATGACCTGTGTACTGGTAAGCTCTGTCCATAGACCTGTATATTGAAGTTACCCATTATTATTCTATGGGAATTAATGTGTGTCTTTATATCCATTAGTATGCATTTTATGAAATTGAATACACTCAAGTTAGTGCATATATATTTAAAGTTGAATTCCTCCTTGCTGGGTTGTTTCTTTATTCAGTATGTGACTTTGACTAGTAATTATATCATGATTGTGTTTTTGTGTTGAGTAGGGATAGGAACATGCCCCAGTGCACACTTGGAGGTCAGAGAACAGCTCTCAATCCTTGATTCTTTTAGTCCTCTCCCTCTACTGAGGTTGGGGGTAGAGGGACTCTTGCTATTTCTGCCACTCTGGAGAATCCCAGTAGCTGGTCTATGAACTTCTGGATGATTCTCACGTCTCTGCCTTCCATTTCACTGTAGAAGTGTTGGGATTACAGGTGTGCCCCATGATGTCAGGCTTTTTAATCAGTTCTAAAAATTAGACTCAGATCTTTTGGCTTGTGTGGCAAGTGTTTTTACAAGCTTCGATGGCCCTCTTTGTCTAATGTTGCATTTAACTCTATCCTGGCAGATGTTAGAACAGCAAAACCTACTCACTTTCTAGTTGCGTTTGCTTAAAGTGCCGTTTCTGTTGAGTGGTGGTGGCGTATACCTTTAGTTCCAGTGCTCTGGAGGCAGAGGCAGGCAGAGCTCTGTTAGTTTGAGATCACGCATTTCTTTATTTCTTTAGTCTGTTTTTAATCATGAAACTTTCTTTCTCCTTTAATTATGATGGCTTTGCTGGGATAACATTCTGGGTTGCAGTTGCCGTCTGTTAGGGCCTTAAACAC